TTTGTCATTCACTTGCAGCATAAATCATTTGTCATTCACTTGCAGCATAAATCATTGGCTGTATTTTATTTTTTTCCTTCCCCAAACATAAAACTGAATTGATCTGTATTTTAAACTGAAACTTTTCTTTTATAAGGTTACTACACCTTCAGAAGAGGAACCAGCGAATGTGGATGCTGCCACAAGCCTGTTATCACAGCTGTAATGCATAATGGATGATGAAGAGATTCCAAGAATTGAAGGTTACACAGGCTTTCTTTGTAAAATTTTATTAAAAAAATCTTGTTAATATACAAGTATTGGCACACTTTAATACAAACTACAAACAGACCTTTCCTATCATCTAGGAAAGTGGAATGTCAGAAGTCAGTGTGAGAAACTTAAAGTGCTAAAACAGAAGGCACTTCACAAAATTGGTTCACTGAAACAATTAAGCATAACTCAAGTTGATATCCTTCACTTCAGCTTGGCAGTGGAAGTTTCAAATTTGATGGGAACATTATAAAATATTGACAGCTTCTCGGCAGTAAAGCTTCAAAGAAAATGCTGGTAACTATGAGAAAAGCCTAATCATTTTGGAAGGCTATTAAAGCATTTTTGCTTTCCTTAGAAAAGAAAAATCCAAAATCATTGGATTACACAAAGGACACTCAGGTGAAAAATGTGCCAAGATTCTGATAAAAAAGCCCTTTTTTCTGGTGGTTAAATTCGTTTTGTGAAGTAGTTAAAGGAAGCAAAAGGAAATATACTCCCAGAGTCAGTGAACTAAGAAGTTATACATTCATTGTTCAAATACTTAGGTTATGAAGAAGTCTAGAATGTTATCGTTAGAGGTAGATAAGTAGTCTGGTTGACACAATATCTAATAATTTAGTATCTGCACATCAAAGAGATCACAGACTCCTTCATTATCATCCAGGTTAAAGTTGTAGTCATCTCCGGGAGTAGGAGAGAGTCGTAAGAGAGGAAAAACTGTAAAGCAGGAATAGTTTAGTTTAAGTTAAAACACTTTTGGAATATCAGTCCTGTCTCATAATCCAGTATGTTCATCATCACCAGTGCCAGGGTCAGTCTTAAGTAAAATATTGCCTTGATAATCTCACAAACATGCTAGGACACATACTGTGACTATCCGTATTGCCTTCAAACTAAGGCAATAGGTGACATGTCTACACCTTTGTCCTTAGTATCTTACATAAATTTGCTGGGGGTGGAGTGAAAGCTGTGAAGTACGGACCTACTCTCTCCTTTTGCAGCAAAGGAACTCCTAAGCAGCTTTTGAAAATTTGTCAAAAAGCCACTACTTATATTTATCTCCTTCCTGTGACAATATTGTATGTATTAGTCTTCAGATATTTAATGTGGATAAAGAAATTAATATTATCTCTATTGTACAGAAGAAAAACGGAAGCTGTCAGCTTCTCTGCACTGCATTTCATGCATGGACTTGAAGCCCTTTTTGGGTAATGCAGGAGGAGAAGCCTCAGCCCTCATGCTGTACCTCAGGAAGACTAATGCAGAAGAGTTGGGCATGTTGTAGCTGTTCTAAAATTGGAGAGTATTTCCGTTTTATCCACATATTTTATTGTCACGTTCATACAACTCCAGCTTCCCTGTTAGATCTTGTAGCTGCATGTTTCTTTCTAGATAAGCCCCAAGTCTGCCTGCTTGAAAAGCAGATATTAACACAAGGTGTTCACAGAACAGCACAGTTAAATGGGAAAAGGACTAAGGCAGCTGGGTTCAGTGAGATACAGCAGGGGGTCATAAAGTGTATGGAACCACTGTAGCTCAGTTCTGCATACATATGGCCAAGGAGATGCAAGACCAGAAAAGGGTTGTATTCATTCTGCCAGTGTAAGAGACCTGGCCAAGTATCAATCTGTATGCAGGCATGTAAATATGCTCTGAAATATCTGCTCAAAGCTCATGGAAGAGGCCTGAGGCAGAACAGAATTAAACAAGATATATATACATATATTTTTTTTTTAAGGCAGGCACTCGAGTCATCAACCTGTTCTTTATTTATTTTCAAATTAAGTACTGTTCAGTTACTCATGCATGTAAGTTCTTGCTGGATTAAGGCTTCATATTTTGACTGTTAAATAGAAGCGTTGCAGGGAACAGATAGGGATGCAAAGATGAGAATGACAAAGATAGAAGAGGCAGTACAGGGGAAAGAAGTAGTATCATACTGGCTCTTGATATGAGATTTCAGACACCTACCAAGAGTGCTGTTCATATAAAAACCATGCTGCTACTTTTTTAATATCTGCAAGTAAGGATGCTAAATACTTACCATCAGAGGACATAAGTTCGTCAATAATATCCCCACCAATATTTCCTGTGAAAACAGGAGCATGTGTTTATTGCAGTTAACAGATTCCCTGCGTAACAACACTGAACTGTAAGGTACAGTACGGCTCACATGCACATGCTAGGAGCTGTGGAGACAGCGTGCTGCATAAATATATAAAATAAATTCCTGTTTTTATCCCTCAGTTTTTCCTGATAAATTTCTCATGCTTTCCTCAAGCTGTACAGTCAATCTCTTATAACCCTAAAGCCATGTGCAATGAGTAGCTTATTTGATAGCAGAGAAAGGTATTTTGCTCAAAATGAGCTTGCTACCCAGAACTGGCTCTGTGGCTTCAGTGGGAGATAAACAAATGCCTGTCATTTTCTCTGTGGGAAAAGCCTTAATCCTTCCCTCCTTGTAACTCATTGGTAGCTTGGCAAAAAGAATGGCTCAGGAAACAACAAAAATACTGAATAGCAACTGTTTTCTTCCTACCTGTGGGCTCTTCCATCTTTCCTATGTCAAATGAGTTTGGCTTGAGGATACAGTTAACGTCCAAAGGGAGCAAAGCCTGATAGTCATTGGAGCTCGCTGTAGCTTGGGCGACATCTCCTGAAAGGCTGGGGTACAACACTGAGTCTGGAAGGCTAGAGTAAGGAGTTGCTGGAGTTGTACTGTTCTGCTGCAGACTGCTTTCTACAAAGACAGAAAAGCACATTATAAAATCTATTACTGTAAAAAGGAATGTAAAAGACCTGCACCTGGCTTTCTCTTTTGAGGACAACACGGCTAATGTCTGGGTTGAGGTAAGAAGAATCTCTTCCCCATTCCAAATTCACAAACTCAATTTTATCAGGATCCCTCAGAAACATAGACTGTAACGGTGATGACATTTTCTTAAATATTTCCATATTATCCTACAATTATGATTTAAAAAAATACCAGATATTCAGGCAGTCTCTCATTGTGGCTATGTGGAAGAAAGTGACCTTGTGGCACAAAAGCTGGGACTGGTGCCTGTAGTATCTCCTTCACAAAAAGGTGTATGTTCAAATCATATACTCCATTTACAATTGGCAATTTTAAAATTGACAATTTAATTCCACCCTGCATTTTGGAGAAACATCTCAGATTAACAAACAGGATCACATGCAAAACCTGTTCGGTGTAAGATGATAAGCTACAAGGGGAAAATCTGTTTCATCAATCAGGGTGAAATCAATCAGAGCACAGAAGAGGAAGAACCTCTTGAAAGCCATTAGTAAGCCCCTTGGGATAGTTTCTTAACAGACACCTGCCATGTTATGCAAATTGTTGATATGCCTTTCTTCTATCTATCACCATTTCTCTTTCTTCCCCCTAAGCCTTTCTCCACCTATCTTAGTTGGAAAAATAATTCAGACCCACCTGACTGTGTGTCCACTGTTGTTTCTGGCAACTGTTGTTCCTGGTTAAGGCCATGTTCTGGTGGGTTTTCAGGAGCTGGAGTAGGTTTAAGGGGAGTCACTGGAGCTGCAGGCTGAGATGGGGTTTGTGCAAGGTCGTCAGGTGGAGGAACTGGAAACACCATGGGCTTGGAGGAATTTGATTCTCTGTTTATAAGCAGTACATGGATAGGTCCTGAACTACTTTTAAGATTGATCTGGTATTTCTTCTGTCCATTCTGGCCCTGTAGAGATGGTGTATTAAGAAAGTTAAAATGCCCACAGAATTCGGAACTGTACCAAAAATAGTGATTGCATAGACTTATTTCTCATAGTAACCAATGAAGATGCTTAAACAGAATTCTCAATGTACTTTTTACCTCCCAGAAGATACAGTACTCTTCTAATTAAAATGCTAGGAAGAAATTTTGATTGTCAGACTTATCAAATCATATTCAGACAGGAAACAAATATTTAAAACAAATATAAGTGATCTAATAGGAAACAGATAATAATTCTGTTATGCATTTATCTGACCAGAACAGCTACACAAGACACAAACATACAACACTTTGAAGGGCTTAACTAAGTTCCGAATTCAAGTTACACAAAACCTACAGTAGGGCTACATCTTATCAGTAACAAAACAGATAAAAGATTTGTATACTTTTACATTTCTTCCTCTTAAATGGAGCTTCAGAACCATCTTAGTTGGGACCAACCATGCCACAATAATTAAGTTTTCAGTCAGACCAAGTGAACACAGAATCATTGAGTCAGTAGAAACAATTTCTTAGCTGATTTGCTAGGCATTCTTTTTGCTTGGCTAATTCATCAAACAGGTTTTCAGCAACTATGTTCCAGAAAAAAAAATGAGGATGAGGAAAGTGGAAAAGGAGCCTGAGGGGGGGGGAACCAAAGTAAATGAATCCCATTTGAAGTTGCTGATGGAATACTAAATCACCTGCTTTTGTCCTCAACAAAAAGTCAAAAAAGCTGCATCACAACTGCTTTCACCACACAGGGAACCATACCATTGCCTGAACTGTTTTCAGCACGGATGAACAAACCAGTATCACTGGACCAGCTTCATGGTCCTAGCTTTGGATGCTCTTCTGATATCAGATTGTGCTTAGCCTCGTTAAAAATAGCTTCTGAAACTTCTCCTGTGAGTTTCACCACTCTAAAAGCATTGTGTCTGTCCTGCTTCATGCAACACTCTCTCCCAACTACGTAAGGTATCAACCCTATTTAAAACAGAGCAATGCATTTAAAAAAAAAAAAAAAAAGATTAAAGATTGACAGAGTTAAGTAATATGGCCTCTTCCTCTAATCCTGCCAAGTCTAACAAACCTTTCAGTTATAAAGAAGTCTGCAGTGTGTTTCTCTATTCAGTATATTACTATGTGACTAAACATGAACAGCATCTAAACCACATCTGCAAATAAATCTAAAAGGCATTTTCATAGAAGTTCTGATTTAGCAATACAATAATGTTTGAAATTTGACACATAAAAGTTACTGCTATTAAGTTCTCAAGGGAATTCAAGACATTATGCCTAAACTGCAAGGC